CTACAACAAGAAGCGGACGGATGAAGCGAGGCAAGAGCGTACACGTGAGAGCGGGAACTTACAAGGCAGTTGTGTGTCGAGCCGGTTGTAAGATTAAAACAAGAAGGAGTAATGTACAATCGGTCAACATATGGCGTCGAAGCATGCACGCAGGTTACTGAGATATTCCTACTATTTTGCCTGTTAGTGGTGGTGAGGATGCTGACTGCCGTGATGGTGTTTGCGCCCACGTGGTCTACCGGATTTGGTGACCAGAAACACTGTGGCTTAGAAGTAGGTGGCATCGTTACACTCATAGCCACCCTCATGGCTACTGTTTTTATCATCATCATCATCATCATCATTACACGTTAGCTGGAGGTGGAAAACACCTCAGCTATTGCGCCGCAATACAAAAGGCAAGAAAAGAAAAAAACAAACAAACAGTGGCACGCCCGCTGAGTCCCCAGTAACGGATGGACATCGTTCCGGAGAGCTAACAGCTGGCTGCCGTAAAAGAAAGTCATATTATGCCTAACGATTGAGATCGTGATTGGAGGGGGATGCTAAACAGGAGGGGGATGGACAAAGGAACTCACAACACAAACGCCATTGGGGCCGGCTCCTAGCCATATCAGCAAGTGTGTCCAGCCAAACGTGTTCACCGTCCTTAGGACCCCAGCCAGGCAGTCGGGATGCACCAACCGACGCCAACTTCGAAGTGAGGGTTTTCATTTCTCTCGACCAAGTCATCACTTGGCCTCCCCTCCTCCTCTTCCAACCGCACCCACAACGCGCAAACAATGCACGTCGTGGGAGTCGGTGTGCTGGCATGCGCAAGACGTGGCCCAGCCATCGGAGCCTGGTGCGTGATATAATCGTGCTGAGCGGTTCACCTCGCTCTTCCTGCACCAAATACGCGACGTCGAACACGCTCATTGCTCACGCGGTGTTCCCACCAGACATGAGCTAAGCTGCGAAGGCAGCGATGATCGAACGTGACGAGTCTCTTCATGTCTGTCGACCTGATGGGCCAGGTTTCACAGCCATATAGGAGAGTTGAACGGACGGCTGTGTTTGTAAACTCTGCCCTTGAGGGCGAGAGTAATGTCGCGTCTGCGCCACAGGTGGCGAAGATTGGCAAAAGCACCTCGAGCTTTTGCTATACGGTTCGTAACCTCATCTTCAATCCCACGGGTGCTAATATAGCTGCCCAGCTACTTGAATTCCTGAACGACTTCTAGCAGATCACCACCAAGCGTTAGCGCAGGGTTGGGTCCCTGCCAATCTTGGAGAAGTACTTTGCATTTTGATGGAGCAAAGCATAGCCCAAAACGACTGACAGCCAGTGCTAATCGGTTCAGTGCTGTTTGGCATGTTTGGGAGCCGTCACAGATTAGAGCAATATCGTCTGTATACTCCAAGTCAAGAAGTCGCTCACCAGGAAGTAGCTCCACACCTTCTAGGTCGTGTCCAGCGAACGCTGTTTCCATGACTTCATCAATAGCGAAGTTGAAGAGGAAAGGTGACAGCGGGCATCCTTGTCTCACACCGCTGGTGATACTGAAGGGTGGCGAGAGTTTGCCATAAACCCTCACCCTGCCCGAACTATGTGCGTACAGCGCTTTGATAATGTTTACATATTTATCAGGCGCACCTTTCCTCAACAGACAGTCCCAAAGGGCACATCGATCGACTGAGTCGAAGGCACCTTTTATGTCAAGAAACACGACAACGGTGGGTCGCCAATAAACATGGCGGTGCTGCAACACTTGACGCAATGTAAAGATGTGGTCGATGCAGCCCCGACCTCGACGAAATCCGGCTTGCTCTTCACGAATTTGGCTTTCACGAGTGCCAGTCAGACTGTGGAGAATGAGAGAGGCAAGCAATTTAGAGGCAATCGAAATCAGACTGATCCCTCTATGATTGCTACATACCAAACGGGAGCCTCCCTTGAAAATTGGGACAATGACGGAGTGGTTCCAGTCTGTCGGGACTGTCTCCTGCTCCCAAAGTTTTACTAGCAACTCGCGTAGATCACCTATTAGAGCAGGTCCACCGAACTTGAAGAGGGCTGGAGGAATAGTATCTGCTCCTGCGGCCTTATGCAATTTCAACAGCCTGATCTCACGTTCGACTTCAGCGCGTGAGGGCGGATCCAAGGAGACGGCCCAAGGAGAAGGGCGCTCGCCGGGGTCTTTATGCTCTACTTGCTACCTCTTTCCTCCCCTTTGTTTTTACCATAGTGATTTTACATAGTGATTAGATCTTCCGCAGTTTCATGCATTACTCATACTTGAAGGCAGTGTACTCTTATAGACAAAGCGATGCTTTCTGCTTCATCCTTAGCCAGGATTCGTTTGATTGTATGACCTAATTGGGCTTTTGACGCTTACATCTTTACTTTTCCTGATTTTTGGTGGTTTTTCTCCCTGCATTTCCTTCGGATTTATTTCTTTGTTACTCTATCGCTCCGTATTTATCCATTACTCATTCCACAACTGCTCTCTGCGCTGACGCCGTTGCCTATTACCTCGGGTGATCGTAACTCCTCTACTCTTGATCACTGAGCTATTTAATTATGCTGTGAATTTATATTGTATGATCCAGGTGATCAGCCATGGTTTTGCACGAAGCTCCCCCATTAGCTCGCAGCGACCATAAAATGCATAAGGGATGTTCCACTTCCAACTTTCCTGATAGCTCTGTATCCGTAATTTTCCTGTAGGATGGTTCTGATTGGTTACCGGTGGCTAAACGGAGATTGTGTGACCTATCCAGCTAACTTGTGGACAGAATCAACTGCTGTTCACGCTTATCCGGATAGATTGACGCGAGCGCACGCTTCCGGAATTGATTTAACATGTTTCCGGTTCTTACCATCGTTGAACAGCTACTCTAAATGACCTGTCGGTTTACTTGTCTGGACTATCGTATCACCTTTGTCGACCAAATCACCAAAGCGTTTATTGTATGCCTTGTCCGTGCGTGTGATTTTCAAGCTCGGTGTGGCACCATGTAATGTGTCCGTCGTTACCGCTTAAACTAGTGGTATGACCACCTCATGCGCAGGATATTAAATGGCTGCTCATCTTTGACCATCAGTAGCTGTGAGTTATGTCGTTTGTCTGGCTGGATCATAAGCTGAGTGCCAGTCGCTGACCGAGTGATATAGGCATTTGACTTGTAATCCACAAATCACATGTGCGCGTGTGTCTGGTATTCCCGGGCCGCACGCGACTGCTGGTGTGTATCGAAGCGTCGATGCGAAGTACCAGCGTACTGGGTGGATAATATTATTACAGCATTTCTTATGATTCTGCACTGAACTGTCCGCTGAAATCGCACTGCTTATTTTTCCTGAATCACATTGTTCGTCCACTCATCATTCGAACGCGTAGGCAACCATAAGTCACTCTTACGGTTTTTGATTGGACGGGGTCGCGTTGTTACCACTTTTCACCGAATGATCCGGTGCATACCATTTTCCAGCTTGGGTTGTCTGGATCAGCTATAGTCGATATGGCTGCATCACTAAATCACTGTTTCCTTCGGGCAATCGCGTTTTTCTTCCACTTTTCCCTTTCTTCAGAATGTTTGCATATCATCTCTCCTTTGTATTCTACTTATCTCACCGCCATAATAATCCGAGTCACGGCAGCTAGCTCTACCGCACCACCATGTTTGAACGTAGTTGTTTGTATGACGAAAGTGATATTGGCAGGTCCCTAAAGTCTTCAGAAGTTTCTCCTTATGAAGTGTTTCATCATCAAATGGTAGCCGTTTTAACTGAAAAACACACCACGGAGCATTTAGGTAGCCAAGCTGTGATTGGCGATCTATTCGAAAACACTTCAGTCCACGAGGTATTCTTGCAGCAATCCGGATTTCAGTTTGCTCCTCCACATGCGTTTTCAGCTTTTCTGATGGATCATTTTACCGTTGGCGCTTGAGATGCCTCGGGCCCATCTGTTTCATCATTGTATGCTGTTTGAGGACTACAAGCTGTCACCGATCACCATATATTTTGGGCGGTTACAGTGTCTCGATGCGCACCTATCGAGGACGTGGCTGTTTACATACACTGCGCTGATTGCCGTCTGGCGACAGTTGTCGTTTTGGTCTAAGCGAAGTTGACCTGGCACACCGCATCTGGCTTTACTGTATGAGTTTCTGCATTGGCCTTGCTGCTCTACACGATGCCTTGTTTTGATCACCATTGTGTGTGAACATGTTTACCTCTGATGCACTCGTCGATTGAGTCATGTAACAGTCACTTGTTTCGCTTTGTTGCGAATCCATTCAACCACCCGTTCGGACCGCCGCTCTTTTTGCTTATCATACTGTGTTCGCATACAATTTGACCAATCGGCCAACTGGATTCTGTTCGCCGACAGTAGAAACTAAATGGCAAGACTAGGATCCTTCAAACTTAACAACTTTAGTACCTCCGCTTTATTGCATCTGAGTCCGGATCTAGTGACATCAAGCACGTCAAACTGTGGCCATTTAATTGCTTAGCGGACCGTACCTTCTCACTATCTGTTTTACCTTCCTTATTTGTTTAGCATCAATGTACATGCCGTTTTTCTTTCACTTTTGTCCATATTCGATTTCATTTCTTCCACAACACGAGGCATGAATCTCATCGCTGTTTTAATTATTGACTCGGAAGTTGTGCTTTTTGCGATTTAAACTTCAACTGGTCTTTTCAGTACGACTACCAAACCATGTTTCGGCCAACTGAAACTGCACTTTCGCTTATATGAACTGCAATAAATGAGCGTTATTTGACCCATTTGATGTTTGTTTGTTTTCAGTCACTCAGGCCATTTTCCACATAGTCCCTTAGATGGAATTCTGATTATCTTGTTATTGGTCCGGAAGTTTGCGTTTTGCGATGTATATTTCCCAACCACTGTTACGTTCAGTGGTCAGAATACCCCACCCTACAGACTTGTGAATAGATTTTGAAACTTATTACTATCCCGATTTTAACTTCCGACCCACCTTTCCAGCATCCGAGTCACCCTCGTCGCGCCACTTGTTATCTACCTTCGCTTCATTCACTTTCGCCTCCGTTCCATCGTGGTTGGTTTTGCTGGTGTATGTGCTGCAGTGGATTGTGGCCCTGTGCCTATGCCTATGGGCTTGCCGGAAGTCGCCAGGGTCATCTGCCTATTCACAATTGGACACGTATGTTCCAGGAACTCTTAAAAGATCAGCGTTCACCCATTGGGAGAAGGCAATGGATGCAATTCATCGAGTACGTCGCTTTCTTTCAACTTTGTTTTGGGTACAATGTTTATGTGCCTTCCTTAATCGCATATAGAATGTCCACAATGTATTCCTACGGAGTTAGAAGTTAGCAGTTGTGCGGAAAGCACTCTTTTCACCAAATCGCTTCAGGCATATACAATTATAAAGCAAAATTATGACGCTAACAAGCACATGAAGACCTTGTCAAGGACCATTGAAGAAACAAAGTTTTCTCCACCTTGTTAGCTAAGTATTGTAAATATATCAATCATTTGTTTGTTCCGTCGGAGTAAACGGCGAACGCAGACGTGAGCAACGCTGCGCAATTAATGTTGGAGCGAGTTTATAGCCAAGTTTAAGTCAACTCCTGTACAGTTCTGATTTCAAAACCCTGATTGCGATAGCTTCCGCAATGATCGCTGTATTTGCGGTCGTGGTTTCCTTGCCCAACGCTATAGCGTGATCCATTCTTAATCCACATTGTTGTTGCCGGTGTCGTCTCAAATGCTCTCGATTTCTTCTAAGCTTTTTCCCTCTAGCATTTTTTCCTATGACCTTGCATCGACCTTCGTAATCACCAAACCTTTCTTCCACCACTCTTGATCTTCGGATACTGGTTGAACCTACACTTCCTCCCCCAGTGTTTGCTCGGGTAGTACCTGTGCATCGCGGTTTTAGTGCCGTTTCTCGGTACTCATTCGTTTTCTCAGACTGTAATCTCTCATGCTGTGGCAAAATTGGGTGCAAATGTGCGGCAGATGCCGGCATCAGAGTTCCGATCCTTCGGCTGTATATGCGCTGCACTGGGCTAAAGCCGATGTCCGTTGTAGGAGTGTTGCGATTCTCAAGTAGCATGAGGTACGGGTCCTCATCAGTAGATCTAGCCTTTGATAACAGTCGCTTGGCGTGCTACACTGTCGACTCCACCTTTTCATTCGTTTAACTGTAATATTGGCTTGTTTACTGGTGCACGAATTCCCATTTAGTTGCGAAGGCGTCGAACGCAACGCTATTAAACTGGGGACCATAGTCGGACACCAGCATCTCCGGTATACCGTGCCGCGCGAATTGACATCTGCATTTGTTGATTACTGCTTCTATTGCCGAAGTATTGAGTAAATCATTTTCAAAATAATTACCAGTAGTCAACTGTAAGTAATTCTTCCTGTTGTCACTGAATAAATTCACCGACACCTGTCACGATCGTTCAAGGACATCATGCGGCATCATTGGTTCCGAATTTCATGTGAACGACACGCCTCACAATTCAACACATGATACCTGATTTGACTTATCATTCTTGGCCAAAAGATCATATCACTTGCTCGGCTTATAGTGTAGTTGGCACCCAGATAAGCATGATGAATGTATTACAGCATTTCTCCTCGGAACAATGACGGAATCAGAATACGCCTTTCCTTGAACAGCAAGCCACCATAAACAGTTCATTCCGAAAATTGAACTAGGTTATTAGTTCCTTCAAAAGGTACTTCTCTGTCTCTGGCCACTCATTTAGAACGTCTTGCAAAGCTGAAAAAGTTGCACATTCCTCTGTGTGGTGCCATATTTTTTCAAACGATCTTCTGTCGCTGCCAGATGCTGTACTAGGTTTACTGCTTCAACCTCTTCCGGATTCTGCTCGGGTACTGGTAGATAACCTCGTGACAACCTATTCGCGATAAACATCGATACCTCCGGCATGTACACAATATCTACGTCGTACTTTTAAAGTTGGATGAGCATACATTGAAGGCGACGAGGAACGACGTGCAGCGGTTTCTTGGCTATTGACATAAGCGGTTTGTGGTCGATATGCACAGTTGTCTTTCTTCCGTATGTCCAGTTGTCGAAACACACCATGGCATGGACTCCGCGAGCATCTCCTTCTCAAGCTGCGCATAACGCTGCTCGGTCACGGTGAGCGCTCCTCTGCGGAAATCCGAAAGTATTTCATTCCGTAAAAGAACTGCACCTATTCCGTCCTGACTACTGTCACACTGTATCTCCATAGACTGCGCAGGATCGTAATATCTGAGTACAGGGGCGTTGCTGATAAGGAAGTTAATACAGTCCAACCTGTCATGACGACTAGCCAAAAACATCCCCAACTTTTTTTTCCTATGAGTAATGTCCTTATACATGAACCTGTCTATGGCGACCACTTTTTGTCGGTCCCTGGGGTGGTCACTTTAGACAGGTTTGATTGTCGTTGTCAATGCGGTTTCTAGTTCCTTTCCCCAACTCAACTAATCCTTTGTGCGTTAGCTTCCTGATCGGCGTCATGAAATCAGCGAGTTTGGCATAAATGGCTCAAATAATTCATTACACCGTTTCAGCCATGGGTTCCCTTCACGTCGTTAGGAGGCGGTATCTCCAGAATTACCTTACTTTTTTCTGAATCGACCCTGCTCCCTTGGGTTATTAGCACATGCCCATTGAAAATCTTTCCGAAGCCCAATTTTCTCACGTTTAAACTTGATGTTCTTTTGCACACAACGCTGTAAGAAACGGTGGAGATTAGCGTCATGCTCTTCCTCCGTGGAGCCGTAGATCAAAACATTGTCTGCCGCACATGTTAGACCATCTAAATCGTCTACCGCTTGCACCAAACGCTTTTGAAAAGTTTCACTCGAAACCTTAAAATCAAATAGTAAATCCAGCCAACGATAACACCCGAACGGTGGGGCAAAGGTAGTAAGGAAACTGGATTCTTCATCCATCACCACGTGCCAGAATTCAGAAGACACGTTTACCTTCGTGATTTACCTAGCTTTGACTAAACGCGGCATGATGTCTACTAGGGTCAGTAGCGCATAATGCTCACTACTCAGAGCCTCATACAACGGTTTCGGGGCAATACACACGCGCATTTCGCCCGTCTTCTTCGTGATGACTGCGATCTGATTATTCAGTCGGTTGGCTCTTTGACTTTGGCAATCACACCGTCCCTCACTAATTTGCTCAATTAAGCGCTGAACCTGTCACGCAACGCAAATGTAACTCCCCTAGCCTGTAGCGTTGTCGGTCGTATCAAAGGATCTAATGATAAGTGTACAGTTCCCTCAACTTTCCCCAAACCTGGGCTAAATACATACGGACACTAGTCACTAACATTGGTCTCTTCATGGCAAGCGTGCACAAGACGATCATGATTAAATATTAGCGAAACCGAGAGGATGGCTCGAATCAATGCCGAGAATCGGCGTGAGCTCCTCATTCACGACCACAAACTCCAGTCGGTATGAGGCTTCGCCCGTTAGGTTAATCACTTCGATTGTAACAGCCGTTCGGATGAAGTCTGGAACCATTCCACATGCGCAGGCAATCTCGATCGGATGCACACCCCGAGACAGTGCTTCGTTGGTAGAATGTTGACAGTATCAACCGTCTCTAACTGGAATCGTACGACTTTGCCTTCAGTCAAACGGTTTGCGTGGACACCTTTTTACTTTACCCTCTGAGACACATTGCTAATTGTCTGTGGTTGAATTGTCACCAACGAGCGCACTCACATTGACTGATTGGCAGCAAGGAGTAAAGTGGTCCCAGTTTCCACATTTCCCCCATTTCCGACCCCACACCGGGCACTGTTCACGGGTGCTCGGGTGTCGCGCGGCGCAAAATTTTCAGATAACCTGTCTCACGTCAGTAGCCTTCGTTCCTCGTCAACTTTGCGTTTCATTTGGTGTTATTGATACGTTGTCGAGGACTCACTCGCAGATATCGATGCACTGCTGGAGCGATAAGTCGCGCCATCGCAAAAGCTGCTTTGCCCTGCCTTCATTGATTCCAAGAACTGTCCGGTCGCCTGTGACACTGTCGCCAGTGCATTTCCAGATATTGCAGGACCGAGCCAAAATCTCCAGCTCTTGGGGTACACGTCGACGGATTCATTTGTGCCTTTACTTCGCGTAAGGAAAAGATAGCGCTGAGAGGTCTCGTTGGTTTCGCATTCGCAAAATACACTGAACTGTACAGTGTCCGTCTCCGAATCATTGGGATCTTTGTCGTAGTACGATGCCTTCAACACACGGCGCGCATCACTACCGGCTGCATGTCGAAACATGGCCAAGCGATACGCCATCGGTTGCTCGTCCAAACGTATTCATATGCAGAAATCCATTCACTTTACCCCTCCATAGACGTCAATTACTTACCGAGTTTCCTACCTCCATGTCCAATGGGGCAGGCACTTGAATAGCCACTGGTGATCCGAATAGAATCCAAGCGTTGCCGTTTGGGTTCCTCTTGGTCTTCTCACACCACGTTGCAGAACTCAGTCCTTCAGGAATTAGTTTATTCGGCAAGGTCAACTCAGCATGTTTGGTAAGCTAAACTCCTCGATATAAGTTGCACGTTTACGTCCAGAAATAACTACCCTTCTGAGTCGATGAGGTTCTACTTTTAACTCAGTTAAACGAACGATATGTAACTCACACGCATGTCGGCCGATCCGTGTCCTGTAAGCGAATCCTTTGCGCTCGTCTCCCATTGGCTGTCTGGCTCACTCGGTTGGTCTATCCGTTCACTCTGGTGTGACACTCCCATCGCAGTACACCTATGTATCACTCATTCACTTGGCTTCGGCTAGTCGCCCCGTATTTGTTTTTAACGCCAACTATTACTCTTGACCTAGGTAAACAAACGGAACGCACGTTCAATTCGCCTAGAATGCATAATGCCAAAAGGACCCCGGGCTACTTCTTCGGTTTGCTTAAGACTTTTGAATGGGGATAAATTTTCTGGGGTTTATACATTTTATTATCGCATCAACTGCGGTTTCCGCCAATGGAATGGTGTTTTTCTAGGTATCTCAAAATTCACCAGCAACGTCGTTGAATATGAAGGGCAGCAGCAGACATTTTCTGCTCATTCGGCGCACCGGGTTCAAGGAAGCCTTTAGTGCGTAAGACAGCCGCTGTCAGTTGATCCATAGACAAACACTTCAGCCTGAACGTAGAGTTGGATCTTTTTAAGAGCTATTCAAGCGACTCGATCTGTCGATTCTTGTCAGTGTTACTACTGCCCATTTTGGTCTTACCAGTACGCACAACCGCTACAGGGAATGCGGATCAAACCACCTGATTTTGGTAATCTTTATCCATCTTTACCCAGAGGCAGTGGCGACTCGGCTGTTCTGTTCGTCCCCATTTGTCACGCGGAGGAAATGCCTTCTTACTAACAACTGTAAACCTTTAATATCTTGCTTTGAATCGGGTTGGTTGATGTGATGACTATTTTTCCCCTATCGGGTAGTTCTGTTGCTAGAGTGTTACCTCGAATCTAGGTGACATCTTCTGTGCGTATTGGTAAGAAGCTTGCTAGCGAATACTTAGTCCCGAGCAAATCCAAACGGATACGCAGTCGATACTTCGAAGGAGAATTCTTTCTGTAAGCATTCATGGATGTAGCATGTTGTGTAGAGACGTGCCCAAAAGAGAAATACTCCCAGTGGTGTGGAGCGTTGAGTGCCCATATTATTTTACTATAAATCGGAATATCTATAGCTCGGGTTGGCTGATTGGATGTAGTTGGTTCTCATAGCCGCACAGTTTGGTTTGTAGACTTTCTTCCACCAGTCGATATGGCTTGTTCATTGCGTCGCAGTAAGCAACTCTGTAGCAAATAGTGGACAACGATCACGTGATTGTCATTGACCTTGCAATCGCTGCTATTGATCCCCGTAACTCGTCCCTTGAACCAGGGGTCTCATTTCACATCGGTTTGTGTAACGTCCGCACTGTGGTTCAGAGCCTCCAACAGACAACGCTGATTCTCACTCTTCACCTTCTTGTATTGTTGGGTGCTGTGTCGTCGAAGCACCCATACAAGATACCAGCGTTGTGACCAATGTTCGACTTCTTGGTTCTGAATCTGAAAACGATGGCTACACTCGTCGCGGTGCTGTGTCAATAGCTCTAGGTATTTACCGTGTTCGTATTGTCCTCAGCAAACATGCCGAAGTCAATCTACTCAACTGCATACAGGTGAAAAGGCGCATGTGTGCGGTCCGACTTTGAATCTCTATTGAGGTTAATAAGCATCGTCTGAGGGCAAGGTGCCTTTTTACCGCCCCAGTTTATGACCTACTGACAGCAGTTCGGTCGGTATGTAAGATGACTTCTATCGCCATCTCTCATCTTTTATCCGTATGGCCAAGAATACTGATATCGTGACTGTCACTGTTGACATGAATGCCCACCTGGATCGTCTTTCTTATTTTCATAAATACCTGGTGCTGTTTCAGGTTCGACGCACATTAAACAGACAGTGGTGACCAGTTTCTGAAACTATGTACCGACTACGATATTAGCAGCACTGCTTTCCAGCACAAGCGTTCACATCGTATCACCTGGCGCCCATCGAATTCCTCAATGACTTGGACCCAAATTGACGCACATCATTTCAATAGTCGGTCAATTTGGAGCGAATGTCTGGATTCCGACCATGCTCTAGTGCTTGCACGCCTGGGACTCGCTCTTCACGCTTCGAAGAAGCGCCTAACTTCTAAGTTTCTTGAACTAGCACTTTGCAGTTCAGTGACGAATCAGCCCACCTGTGTCAGTGGGGATTGAGCCTGATAAACCGAACATTGACTGGGGTCGTGTCTAGTTTACCATGAAGAATGCTTTCGATGCCTGCTTTACACCCGATTTGAGAAGTCCGAACTGTGCATTGATGTCTTAGGCATCCATCAAAGTTGTCGAAGCACAGAAACAGGTTCCAAATGGGTACAGAGTTTCAACGTGTCTGTAACGCCCTGAAACGACGACTGACAAGCATTCTTCGTATTGACCGGGAATGTTAGTGGCTGGCAATGGCCCTTGTGATAAGGAAAGTTAGTACCGTTTCAGCTCATCCGGAACACGGTTGCAAAAAAGCCTTTAGTTGGTAAGACAGTAGTTGAGAAAGTTGGGTATTTGATCCATTCTCAGCCTCATCTACTATCCCGTTGGGAGGGCTACTTTGTAGAGCAGTTCAGCAGGCCCACTGTGATACTGCCGTTTGCTAAATCACCTGTGCCGACGTTGGAACTTGATGTCACCTTTCACACTTTGGAAGAAATTCGACATGAGCTCCCTGTGTTGGAACAAAGCGAAATTTCTTGACCCGATGATCTCCCTGCATCGTACAAGATTGTGGCATTCCATCCCGGAAAGGCGTACGAGGTAAATTGCTCTCGATACTGTATTATACCGCGATTCCCTAGGCGGTTAAGGGTCTACTGGAGGCTGTCTTCTGAGTTTCCCACGACAAGTAGGTTCGCTATGGCCGTCCTATATGTCTTTTCTTCTTCAACAAACAAACCTTGAGTAAGCGAATGACATAGCTCTCCTTGTGTGTGACGTAGTGGTTATGCAACCACTATTTTATTGCATAGTCTGGTGCGTAGCACTACACGTTTCGGCATGTACTTTACTGCTATTTTTACTATTAATATTCTCATTACTATTAATGTTCTCCTTGTTATTATTATCATTATTATACTGATGTTGGTCAAGATAACTGTACCCACTACACTTCGGTGCTTAGATCGAAGGTGGCCAGCCGAATGGTCCCGTAGAAATTGCTATTTATATTGCTTTGTTGTGCTTTGAATTTCGCAGTTTGCATTACATTTGAACTGTTAAACGCAGTCAACCAACTGACTGCAAACGTTAACGGCATCACGTTTAAACTTCTTGTTTGACGTCTTAGCGTGCCGGTAACGTTTGCCGATCGAACGTCCTGAGGTATAGCCATTGGTCCTCATTAGCTACGGTATTATTACAATATGTACAGGAAATTGGGCAAATCTCGATCGTTTAGAATCTCGGTAGATCAACATCAGCAGCAGGATGCAATTAAAGGGGGGGGGGAGCGGAAACAAGCTGTTAAAACCCGTGTTCAAAACAGACAGCCAAAGGACAAGTGAAAACACGCTAGTCGTGTGATGTCATGGACAAATTCATAGTGGCCAACCATCCATGATCCACTCACAGATTTTAAAAAGGGTTAGAGGTGAACGTGAGACACACACATGCAAGCTAGCAAGCTATGGTCAACTGGATGACCTTCGCATCGCCCAAAAAATCTGGTATCATCATCATCACAACACGTTGGTTGAAGGTGAGAAACACTTCATCTGTTGTGGCCACAATGTTACAACGCCATGGCGATAGCGACATCAGGCCACATCAGGCATATGGTAATACCGACGCAGATTAAAATGAGGTCACCATTAGAGATGTGGATGGAATGAAGGCATAAACAACTTATGGACCGCTGGACAAAGATGTGTGTTTATGGAACAGTTAACAATGCAATCACACGGTAGGGGGGCTAGATAGGATGATCACAACATCCGGGTTTCCTAAGAAAATGCTTCAGTGCAGAAGCGGTCCTCACAGCCGCGAAGTAAGCTCATTGAATGAATTGAAATGTACGATCCAAACGGCAATCGTGGATACTCTTCAAAGGAATTTTCCACACAGTGCAATAGTCCGCCACAGTGACCCGTTGTTCTGTTTTTGCTTTACTGATCTCTTTGGCATACCTCGCTTTTCGCAGGCATCTACGTTACTGTGCTTGCTAACAAACTCAGTGTTCAAATAGGATTATTCCTATATCGCCTACTATCGTTGTATACGATAATGATTAACTGTTCCGAACATTGACATGGTTCCTTTTTAGAAAAATTTCATTGCCCACCCTTGAAGCGGCATGCTCCAAACGAAAACAGACGTGCTCACTTACAGAATCTAATGCCTAAGCACTGGCTTTTACCTCTTCGCTAGTATTTATTTTCTAACGGATTGGTGTCCATCCGTTACTGGTGACTCAACCGGCGAGCCACTCTTCCATGTTTTTTTCTTTTGTATTGCCGCACAATAGCCGAGGTGTTTTCATCTCTAGCTAACGTGTATAATGATGATAAGTGATTAATTCGGTTTCATCAACTCTGCCAGTGTAAACTTTTACCATGTTATTCACTTGCTATCTGCTCACATCAGGAGCATGGTGGTACTTCAAATCAACGTTTCCTGCAGGATTCTCTCGAATCTATCATTTTCCCTTTTCCCGGTTTCATTCATTACCTTTAGGCTTCATGGTCACCAGCTAACAGCAGACTGCGTTTGTACTTATCTACTGTTGGTGCTCCGATCAGCTCTCACTCGGTGGCAACCTCGATGAACCTGGTGAATGCATTGTTCTGTCGTTTTCGTCGCTTTTTTTCTTGGGGCACTCTGGCGATGAAAACGGTTTATTTCGCGTTGACCAGGTTTCTTCCTCTTGCTCGACTCATGTTTTCACAACACAAGGCTACTGGGCTGTCAAGTATCCCGGTTCTGTTGGTGAACGATGAGGTCAAACCATCACCCGCAGCTGCCCGCCTGTTTCTACTGGAAGTGCACACTCTCGGTAAGTTTGTATCAATTTGATCTCTCTGCTATCATCCTCCTGCACTACATGGCGGATGCTTACAGCTTTCTTTTGGACACGCTTTGGCACGTATGTGTTGCTCGACCTTTTGCGGTTCCACCCGTACCCTGATCCAGTTCAGTGCATCAATTGTTTGTCGGAAAAAATAGCCACTGCTTCACGCATGCCATAGATTAGTTGTATTAGCTAACTCAAGCAATTATGGTCGAACGGGGGGTCGTTGCAGATTGAAGAGTCTCCGGCCTTTCATCAGCCAATGGTTCTTTTGCAAGTACATTCTACTCTTCTACCCAGTAGTCAGCCCCGGATGTCTGGCTGCGTGATTAGTTTGTCTCACACACAACATGCTTTCTACCTTCCCGAGATTTCTCCACACATTACAAATCACCTCAGCGGCGATACCGCACCTTGACGCACCTCATGTTGTCCTGGGGCTGACAGATGTCGATTGTGACCTAGTGCTTGTTTTGTTTCCTTGCTACTACAACGGATGACAGTTATTTTATGTTTTTTTCCTCAACGCTGTTGATCACAGGACTTCTCCATCCTTTCTTTCGTCAAACTATTGTGCTCCGTCAATGTGCTAAACTCGATCGCTTACTGACATTTGCCTGGTGTTTTAGTAAGTAACATATCGCTCCACGGGGTAATTACGAGTACCCTGAAAGGACGCAAGTGGCTCTCCTAACCCATTCCAGCCCATCGCTGGCACGTTTAACCAAACTTAGACAGAGGTTGCTTTACCCAGTGAATTTTGATTTGCTTCGTGAATTAAATCAGAATAGCAGTCACTTTCGGTTCTACTCGTCTTTAATGCCTCCTTCTGCAAGTGATTCCATCTAGTTAGCATGTTGTTTTGTGTTCTGTTTGAATTACCTTGCTCACTTATCAACTTTCTAGCAGTCAACCAGAGCTGTCTGTTTTTTGACTTTTTGCCTTATCCCGACGTTTTCAACGTCTGTGGTTTATGTTTATCCTGCACTGATTACAAAGCGCTTTGTTTTGGATGATGCACTACTGTGCTTATCTTCTTCCCAGGTGGTTGGGTTGTCCAATGCCATGCATCTTTTGTGGTTCATCCTACAAGCTCGTGATTTAACATCTAGGAACGATGACTCACTCATGCGATACAGTGCACGTTCTGAATGGTGCAATGATCCATGGCAATTTATGCGGGCTCCAAGCGTACCGCTTCACACATCCTATTTGAATTCGTTATCCGACCTTCTGATACATTTCCCATCCCAGAAACACTGCTGAAACCGGTTTATCCGCGATCGTTTAGATCACGGTTTGAATAAAAAGAAATGATATAACAAGCCGAATGTACCGCAATGACTACGTCGAATTCAAGTGGAGTTCTACTTCCCCCAAGCGTGGCGTGTTCTGGTTGCAATGTGAATTCGCTACAGTATCAGCTTCACTAAGCACAAGGATTTGGCGGGATCAACTGAAGGCGAAGTCTGCAAGTGCAAGGGACTTGATATTGGTTTCGACCGGTAGCAAACTGGTCTAGGCTTCCTAATCCCTGAGACTCCGATTCGGATTTGCTTAAGTGCGGGCTCCCATGAAGTTCTCCGAAAACCAAAACTGGATACAGCAAGCCATCAAATCTGTTGTTCATGAACCGCAGGATCACTTACACCGTACAGACATTTGAAGTGCTATTCCATCGCGGCAGCTTCCACTGACTACTGCTCGTTGTCCGCCTTGTGACTTCTTCTTTAATTCGTTGGTTTGCGCGCGTTTTTCGTTCACTGTGCCCGGCTAACCTTGTTCGGGGCCGCGTTCATCTTCATTCATGCTTCCATCACAACGAGACTGGACCTTATCGTGGTGCGTTAGTTTGCGTACTGCATTGACGCATTGAGATATACTGGATGGCACTTTCCAAGTGCCTCCAGAGCAACTCATACCAAACAGCTCAATGGTTAGGGTTAAAACTAACTCAGTCTCACAATCCAATCCTCTTCGCAGGTTAAGGAGAGGTCGATGGTCCGTTCCTTTAACACTTAACCATAGGATAAAGTAGATCTACGGGTTATAAGCTCACATCTCGATTGGCGAAGAGCACCAATGCCACGCAGTCTCTGACGATGGGAGGGCACCTTCCGGTGCTCAATACTTTGCTATTGCCCTCCCCAAGCCAGACAGCTCCTGATCAAATTGGTGCAAACCAGCCAACTCCCACCTGCGGGTGGCCTTGATCTCAGATGTGTAGCCTAATACGGCCGTAAAACACATGTGAATTGTTCCAAATCTTCGAAGGCTGTGTGTGACAAACCTCGAGCAGATCCCATTGGGTCTCTGCAATCACACTTCCGATCTGGACTTGCTCCCCACTGCCTTGTGCATCAAGCTGTTGAGCCAAAGGCTCCTGGTGGAGACCCTCAAACGAATCTCCAAATCCCCCACTGCTTTGTGATTCAGGCTATTGAACAAAAGCTTCGTGTGAAGTCCGTCAAGCGAGCCTCCAAATCACCTACCACCTTGTGCGTCAGACTGTTGAGTCGAAGGCTATCGGTAGGGTACCTCGAACAAAATCCATCTCTCGGAATGCGCACACGGAGAGTTTCATCTGCCTTCGCGACCACGTCGAAAATTCTCCCTTTTCTTCTATTTTCTCTCCCCTCTCAACAATCTTCTTCCCTGTCTATTAAGCAAGAATCTGTTGCTGACCTCGTTGCTGTGCCATCGATAATCCTAACTCGTCCACCAAATCACGAGTCTCATTTCACATTGGTTCTCTTAACGCCCGTACTTTATGTCAGATCGGTCAACAGGCAGCACTATCTCTCACTGTTCACTCTTCGTAATAATGAGTGCTGTGTCTCCGTTGCGACGAATCTTCGACTCCCTGATTCTGTATCTGACGAAAATGATTGCACCTTTCGCCTCTCTGTTTATACCGAGTCAATGGCTCTAGTTATTTACGGTGTTGGTCTCACCCTCGGCAGACATACTGAAGGTAATCTACTCCGTTGGATACCGGTGAACAGCCGCATGTTTGCGTTCCGACTTCGAACCTCTATTGGGGTTACTAAGCAGCATCTGAAGACAAAGCGCCTTTTCATCGCCTCCATTTATGCTCCTGACTGCAGTTCGGTGGGTACCAGAGATGAATTCTACTGTCATCTTTCGTCTTCTCCGCATATTGAAGAGTACTGACATCGTGATTGTTGCTGGTGCCTTGAATGCCCAAGTGGGGCATCTTTCAGACTCTTAAAAACACTTGGGAGGGCGCTTCGAAGTCGATTCACGCCGAACATACGATGGAGATTGATTCCTGCAACTGTGCGTTGACCAGTGTTTATGTTAGCAGTTCTGCTTTCCAGCACAAACGTTCACACCGCGTCACCTGGCGCCCACCGAGTTCCTCATTGACTTGGACCCAACTTGACCATATTGCCATCAGCTACAGCTGGCGCACCTCAATCCAAGACTATCAATTTTGGAACACATGTCTAGATTCCGACCATACTTTAGTGTGCGCACACTCGGCTCTTACCTTTCCCGCTTCAAAGAAGCGCTTAACTTCTAAGCTTCTTAAACTGGGTATGTCATAACGAACTTGCCCATCAATTGTCAGTGATGAATGAGGTTGGTGAATCGAGCGCTGACTGGGATCATCTCAAGTGTGCCATGAAGAATACGTTTGACGCTCACTGTGCACCCGACTTGAGACGTCCTAACTGTGAATGGATCACTGAAGCATCGATCGGTTTGATCAAAGCGCGTAAACTGGTTCTGATGGGCACTGAATTTCAACGTACTCGTAACTTCCTGAAACGACGTCTGACAAGGAGTCTTCGAGTTGACCAGGAACTTTGGTGGGTTGCAAAGGCCCGTGAGATGGAGAAATCCAGCGGTATTGGGAACACTTGGGTACTATTCCAGCTGATCCGAAACACAGGTCCGAGAAAGCCATTCGTTAGGGAGACAATAGCGTCGTCGACTAGCCCGTCGGGCGGAGAATTTTGCAGAGCAATTTAACAGGCCTGCTGCCAACTTGGCGCTTGTTGAATCACCTGAGCCGACGTCGGATATACATGCCACACCTCCCATTTCGGAAGAGATTCAACATGAGCTCGCCGTGTTAAAAGGAAACAAGGCTCCGAGACCCGACGACTTTCCCTCAACTTTGCTGACCCTTTGTTGACTGGACTTGCTTCTCTTTTGAACACGATTTTGGACACTGACGAAGTGCCTTCAGATTAGTGACTATCAACTTTCGCGCACATCTTCAAGAAGGTCAGCATACTTCGTGCGAAAATCATCGAGGCATTAGCCCTAATTCCATTGCTTCCAAACTTCTCACGGGTATCATTCTTTGACGACTTACTTGTCCTCGTGAGGACCGAGTCTTAAAAAGCCAGACTGGCTTCCGCCAAGATCGTGGTTGCATCGACCACATATTTACTCTGCCAAGTTTCAGAGCAGAGATACCATGATAGTTTTCCTTGAGTTGAAAGCTACCTTCGACTCTGTTGACTGCGCTACCTTGTGTCGCTGCCTATCTATGAAGGACGTGGCAGCTAAACTCCTTTCCATTCTGAAGTCCCTCTACCATGACTCCCGAGGCCGTGTGAGGGTCTAAAGGTAACTCTCCTGAGTTCCCCCCGACAAGTGCGGTTCGCCAGGGTTGTCCTGTATCTCCTTTTCATTTCAACTTCGTGATCATAATGATCATGAATGACTCGGTTCTTTCAGACCATTCTGAAGTGGAAGTTCTGTCAGGCGACCGAATGCCAAACTTGGAGTTTGCGGAAGACATAGTTCTCCTTGGGTCCGATGCATTGGCTATGCAAGCAATATTGCACTACTACAAGCAATACTGCGTAGCGCTGCACGCTTCGGCATGTACTTCGCACCTTCAAAGTACAAAGTGCTGTTGCTGGACTGGGCCGACACACTTCTGGTTTTAGCTATTTCCGAATAGCCACTGAAAGTGGCGGATCGGTTCACTTACGTTGGTAGATACGTCACCTCTGGTGATCGT